GTGCGGGGTGGGTGGTGGCGGTTTGAGGGTGGTGGGGGATCGGAAGCGGGTGGTAGTGGGATGTGTGAAGCACGTGAGGTGCAGTGCACAAAGCTCGGAGGGAGCGCGACGTCAAAGGAATTGAGGGGAGAGTTTTGAGAGTGCGCGTCGAGAACAGTGGTGTGAATCGAGGCGGTGCGACGAGGGAGGTGCAGTGATGGTGCATGTACGCAAAGGGGGGAGTGGTGCTGGAACTGACTGTTGGGGTTGGTGCCTATTCGCCAGACGGCGGCCCTGCGCGGCGCAGCACACACTCACGCCAGAAATGACCATGTCCGCGCCCCACTCAGCAAACGGCCTGAGAAGGTGCAAGGCAATCCAGGCGACCCGTTTATGAGAGATTGTGAGGGCAAGCAATTCTTAGTGCAGGCGCCGGTGGTTGACGCCGCAAGGCCAGGGTGCCTTGACATCAGACCCGTGATTCCTTGCTGAAAACGGGTGCCCTGAGAGGACTGAGTCACCAGCATGCTGCACCAGGCGGTGCATGGCAGCCCGTTGTGGTGGGACCTTCGCAGCGCAAACACACGCGTTGCCGCTCACCAATCAAGGGTGGGGTTGTACCCGCGGGAAGAGGAGAAGGGCGGGTGGTGCAGCACAACAATCTGCACATGTGCATGCGTATGTGTGTTTTGTCAGTGTGTGTGTGTGTGTGTTTGTAGGTGCGTATGTGCGTATGCACGCAAGCATACATACACATGTGCATGAGTCAGCGTGTGTGTTAGCGTGGTTGATGTAGAGGCAGGGGCGAGAGGGGTTTGATGCTATGAATCAAATTCCATGAGCTTGGATGGCTCAAGAAGCAGGCAAGTGCGGGACGCTGTGACAATTCTGATCCGTACTTTGATCACAACCTACTTTGAAGGGTGCGGTGGAGGCCGCGAGCTGGGTCTGCAGCCACGCCGCCTGCTGGGAGTTTGCGGTGTTCCCAAGGGGCTCGCTGCAGTCACTGCGCGCGCGTGGGGGAAGGACACACCAGGATTGCCAGGTGGCGGGTGTCTTGAGAGCGCGTATCACACATGCAACGCAGAGTTTTCATGCGCAGGGTTTGTTTTGGCCTGCAGCAATCTTTCACTAGATTCAAATTGACACATATGGGTGTGCACGTGCAAATACACCCACAAACTCTCCCCCCCACACACGCACACGCGAGCGCAGCGTACACACAGTCAGTTGCACGACACATGCATGCACACACCACACACACCCCTTGCGACGCACCCTCCCACCTGGCGATGCTCGTGCGGGCATTCGTACACACATGTGCACACGCATGCGCTATTTTTTCTCTTCGGCCCACCTGGACATCATGAAGAAGTGCAGGATGCCACCAATAAGCTGCTCGTAGATCCGCGGGTTTGGCTTCGAGGCCAGCACCTGGAAAAAGTCGGTGTAGGGCGTCAGGCCGAGGGGCCGGGAGCAGACGTTGCCCCAATCCTGCAGACCGATTCAAGGGGGGGAGGGGGGGTTATGAGTAAGGGCGCGGGGCAGAGGCAGGCAGTTTGGGGGTTTTGAGTGATCGTGAGGCCGGGCTGGGAGCTTGCATTGCATGTGGAGTTGTTGATGCGTGGTCTGCCTGCAGGTGGCACCAAGTGACATCAGGAGGCTCATTTGCACACAGTAACACCAGTCACATTGAGCAAGGAAAACCCTTGCAGGCCACAGGCGGCTGGTGCAGCACGCGTGTGCTGCTTGTGCCCCCATGTGCGCACATGGTTGCCGGGGCATGGCCAGAATCGGTTGGTTGACGGGTTGTTGCTGATGAATTGCCCGTAGTAAGGGGGGATCTTAGCAGCTATCTCTGCTGCCAGGCCAAAGCTGTGAGAGTTGGATGGACACAAAGGAGCAGAGTGGTGCGTGAGTCAGCAGCAGTGCAGAAATGTGTCCGAGAGTACAAGGGAGGGCGTCGGGCATCATGAGGGGATAACATGGTGCCTGAGGATGCCGCTAGTATTCACTGTGTGTGTTGCACGATGAGTTTGATGCAAGGCCAAGACATGCATGTGCTTCAACAAACTACGTGTGCAGCAGCTGTGCAGATGTTTGCAGGAGGTCGGCTGTCTGTACTGTGTGTGCATACATGTTCGCGTGGCACCATCATCTGCTAGGTCTCACCTGTATGCATTGTCCCCAAGGGCAATCACGGACGTCTGGCAATCAAGCGAGGGAGGGCGAGCGAGGGAAGTCAACTTGCAGGCCAGTGCACTGCCGGCGTCATGCTGGCCAGCTCAGCGGCATCGCCGCCCTGAGCAAAACAAACGGTATTTCTGTATTCGGTAGACTGTTGACATGGCTAGGGGCCAAGACGTTTGTAGGTGCCCTTTGAACGGCCACAGATCAACTCACCAGCGGTGATTCCGTCTCCCAACCCTTCACGAGCTTGGAGACGGCAAGCTCGTTGGCATCTCCAGAACCAAAATCGCCGATCAACGCCACGCGCAGCCCGTCACCGACTGTCGCTGATTGCGTTCCTCGGCAGCATGCCAGGAACAACAGCACAAAGGCCCAGGTGATTATGGGGCGTTGCTCCATTTGAAACCTGTTGCGAGGTGTTCTGAGCCGCATCCACACTGTAAACGATAGCGACGGAGTATGTACGACGTCCCGACCCGAATCGCACCCTGCGTGGCCTTAGAAGGTGAGAATAGATATACTCAAAAATAGAACATCAGTGTGCAGCGACGCCAAGCGACGGGACAAACCTTATGTTGACACCAGCCAGCCACGAGGAAAGAACAGGTCACCTGGCCAGCCGTCAAGCAAGCGGCTGGCCATGTCCAGTGATCCGGCCTACATGTGAAGTCTTGCAGCCCATATCTGACTCCTTTTCTTTGATCACATAGCACGGCATGCGCAGGGGCAAAGCCAGCCAGGTCCAGTTGGCAAATCGATGTGCGCCAATGCTTCAAGGCGGATGACGCTGCCCCGATGTGGGGACAGCCTGCCGGCAAGACCTTCAACAGAATTGCGAGATCGCGCATTACTGGTCATTCCTTGCTGGGGCAAGGAGGTTTGCACCCTCAGCCGTCTGCAATCCGACGGAACTCAGGCAAACACACGCGCGCGCGACGCTGCCGCCTGCTCGGCGCAGCCCGCGGCGGCGCGCTCGGACATGCCGGCCCGTGTGAGGCTCATGCTTTCCACAAAGAGAGAGAGCGGCAGGCCGGATCAGCACTCAATACACACTCACAGTCCAGAGCCCGAGCAAGCCCACAATCAAGGGCATCGGGCTGGCGGCATGCCACCGCAGGGCTCGCACGCCTGAGGGTGCGCGACACCCGCCGCCCCCTTCGGCGCAGACACATGCCGTGCTGCCGCTGAGGGCAGAGCGCAGAGGCGAACGCCTATGAGATGCGCCTCGCGTCTCTCTGCTCCACCACATGCATGCAGCAAGCGTGCGCCGCCGCACGCACAAAAAAGATGGTCGAAGGAAGTCAAGTGGCGGGGCTCAGGGTCGTCGGTAAACAAGGGAAGCTGCCGGCCGCTCGCTCTGCTGGCGCGTGCGCCTAGCTGTCGCCGGCGGCCGCCCGCGCCTCCTCCTGCCGGCGGTCGTACTGCGATTGATGCGGCGCGGGGGAGGGCACATGAATACGAGGCAAGCTCAGGAACAAGCGGGGCGGCACAGGGCGTGGCGGGGCAGGGCAGGGCGGGGCGAGGCGGGGTG